TAGGGAACCTTCTGTTGTAACAAAATAAAAAAAAGCAGTTCAGTAGAACCAACTGATACTTTAGCCATGTCTGCTAGCATATCACACTATTCCGAACCAAAGTCTCTACCTCCATGAAAGGAGAAAGGTGCATTTGTTCAATGATGCTCTGGTCACCATGCTTACACAGCACTCAGTTTTATCTTACTGCTCTTTCCATTTCCATTTTATAGTTATTATATATGTGTAGAACACGGACAAATAGCCTCTGTCTTCTTCAATTTGGTCATAGGGGAGCTTTGCAGCTGCTTCCAGCCATGCAGTGACCACTGCTGAAAGGACTTAGCATGTTAGTATTATGTGGAAGAGAGAAAGACAGAGACAGAGAGATAGAGAGATAAGGATAGAAAGATAGATAGAATCACACACATAGATAGAATCAGATAGATAAACAGAGAGAAACACACAGATAAATAAATAGAATCATACAAATAGAAGATAGACTAACACACAGACTGAAATAGATAGAATCACACACGTAGACAAAATCACACACATAAATAGAATCACATAGATAGATAGATAGATAGATAGATAGATAGATAGATAGATAGATAGATAGATAGATATGGAGGGAGAGAGGTAAAGGATGTATTAAATGTTGACTTTGTGCCAGGCATTATGCTAAGCACTGGGGATACAAATACTAGCAAACACGACAATATTTAGCCTCAAAAAGCTTACTTTGCAGCTTAGACTCTTGGGTGCAGCTCTCCAGGTGACGAGATGTAATTCCAATAAGCAGGAGAAGACAGGGTCCTTCTCTACCTCACATCACGGTGATCCCTCCCATCTGGCATGTAGGGGTGGGAGCCACAACCACGTGAGCTTGCATCTGGGTCCCTGAAAGCTCCCAACTTTTTTGCATTTCCTTCCTTTGCTTACTGGCCTTATACATTCAGGAGGCCCTGAGATGTGCAAGTGATGCAGCAGCACCCACTGGAGTGAAGATTAGCTATGACTGCAGCAGCAGAGTCTGGGGGAATAGGTCAGTAGGAAGCTGCTGCTTCTTTTAATAGATAGAACGCCCTGTCTCCTCCTTGCCCTTCTTTCACTATCATAAGGGGAGGCTGAGACCCAAGGGACTACTCAAAGTTTTCCATGTCATCCTAAAATGCCAAGTTCCCACTTACTAGCTGTGTGACTCTGGGCAAGTCACTTAACTCCAATTGCCTCACTAAAATAAATACATGAATCAATCAATCAATCAATAAAATAAAATGTCAAGTCCTTTCAACAATGGGTCACCATAAGGCCAGAAACTTCCCCAAAGCTCCTCCATGTTTGACTGGGAGCAAGCAGAAAGTCAGGGAGCTGTTTTAGATTCGTAGCAGGATTAGAAGTCAGGAGGTCATAGGCCAAAACCTTGATTCAGATACTTATTAGCTCTGTGCCCCTGAGCTTCATCTTCCTTGTCTTTAAAATAAAGGGGTTGGACTCAAATTGTTCTCAGATCCTTCAGGAATTCCCTAAAACTTAGGTGATGGAAGAGCCATGAAACCAGTTTTCCCATTTAAGTATTATAAATCAAATGGAAAAGGATCCGATAAGCAAAGACCAAAACCAAGATGCCTCCATGAGGAAAGCCTTTATGATCAGGATTCCCTGATGATTTGAGTCCGTATTAATCTCTCCCCTTGACTCCTTTGGCCCTTATTGTCTGACCTGCACAATGAACCCTTTATCATCACTGTCCTGTAATGTGGCTGCCTGTACCACACGATTTAGCACTCTATCATAAGCATACAGCATTCTACAAACATTTATTAAGCACCAATTACGTGTAAAGCATTGAGCTGAGCAATTTATCAACCCGTCTTTTTTCTGTTACCAAACCATTTCCCTTGACATTAAAACACAGCTTTTAAAATGGTGCAGAATTGCTTTCTGATGATCAGACAGGAAAAAATTTCAGCATGTCCTACGGAATTTCCTCCCACTGGTGGTGATGGCAATGATGGCGATGATGGCGATGATGCTGATGATGGTGATGGTGATGATGATGATGATATGTATCCCACTTGATCCTCACAACAACCCCAGGAGGTGGGTGCTATTTTTATCCCCATTTTACAGATAAGGAAACTGAGACATATTTAAACATAGATTAAATGACTTCCCCAGAGTCACACATCTAGTTGGGATCTGAGTCAAGATTTTAAATCAGGTGTTCCTGACTCCTGATCCTGCACTCTTTCCACTGCCCTACCTAACTCATAACACATTAAAATACTTCTTGATCAAAGGGGTGGACAAAAGAGCTCAGATGCCTACAGTCGGCTCATCTTCTGTTCATAATGAATACGTGGGAAACATCTACTCCAGCTTTAGAGATATATCTAGTCCAACGAGAGAGAGGGTGGGCCAAGGGCAGCTCCCTATAGATATAAAATATGATTCTAAAGTGAGCTAAACTGCTTCTAATAAAGACCGACTATTAATATCCACTCAGCTTTTGATGGATCACATAAGTGGGACAAATAAAAAGATGCATGGCTGTAGCGAGCAGGATGGTTTCTCTCCCTTCCTCGGCATCGAAAAGGAGGTACACCCCTCCCCACTCCCACCCTCCCTTCTTGTCCCAGCCCCTTTTCAGCTGGTTAAGGGCCTTCAGGGTTTCCAAAACAATTAAATCTTAGTCTGCTCTCACAGGAGGGGAGGCCTGGCTTCCTCGTGTCCTGGGAAAGCCTGCAGGCATGGCAAGCTTATTCCTCCATGCAGCGGGCTGGCACAACTCACTACTCCGTGACATTGCAGGGTAAAGGACAAAAAGAAAAGCAAAGCCTTATTCAGGCCCAGACTTCCTCCTTTCTCATCTCTCTTTGAATCCCCTTCCCCCTCCCGCTTCCACTTTAAAAAAGAAGGGGCAGGGGATGAAGATAAGACCAAGCGGAGCCTGCATATATGACTGTGGCCGAAAAGAGTCCATCATTTCCTTAAGCTCATCTCACATTCAGCCAGCTGCATATAAATTTCCCTCTATCTCATCAAGCTCTCACTGTTTGGCCTCCTCTGACTGATATTGGCTCATCATACTTAATCTAGGGTGAAATTTCCTCGTCTGAGCTAAATTACTCGCAGCCATCAAGGGAAGCGATATTTATTTTTCGTGGGGCTAATGACCTGTCCCCCGGACCCACCCACTGATGGTTATTTACTAGGGCCCAGATGCTTGAGCTCAAGATGAGTGCTAATGTCAGCAGGTGCCATCTCTCATTCAGCTCCATGATTGAATTGGAGCGATCCCATTGACATTGACTCGGTGACTTTTAAGGCCATTACCCTCAGCCAGAGATGAGCCAACCTCTCATCATCGCCATGACACTGACAGCTGATTTGCAACAAATTACAAGCCAGAAGATGTGGAGACTCCATTGGGCATGGGCAGAAGGAAGAGGTAAGGGGGAAAGGCATGGGAAGAAGGATCAGGACAAAGTAGAAAAAGAAGGCACAATACGAAGATCACAGAGAGGATGTCAGGGAGAGACAAAATACATTTCCTCCTTAGTTTGTGCTTCATCATACAGATATACATATGCAGAGAGAGATAAACACATATATAAATATACATATATACATGTACATATATACACACACATATATACACATATATGTATGTATGTGTTATGTATATACAATATACGCATACATATATAAATATATACATACATATTGTTATAGAGAGAGATATAGATATAAACACATATACATATATATACATATATACATATATATAGCTATATATAAATGTTTTGAATCAATGCTTAAATACACAGACTATTTTTTGAATACCTATATATACACATCTACAACAAAAATACTAACCCTTGCAAAAACCACCTTCCTCTCATGTCCCGGGAATTTTGTCTTTAGAAGAGAAACAGAACTAGCAAGTAGGCCACTGCAGCCCAACACCAGAAACTGTTTATTTTGAAATTTTAATGATAGATATTTGTAATAGGTTTTGTTTGTCTCGCTTTCTCAATGAAGGGAAAGAGAAGTGGGAGGGACAGAATTCAGAGCTGAAAATAAATCAAATTGGAATTAAAAAATTTGTAAACAAAAGCAAAAGTAATGAATTTCTTCAACAAAGCAGGCACTTCCTAACTGCAGTTATCCAAACTCTTCATAAAGTATGTTTGCTAAAAAATGGTTAAGCAAAATTGTCTAAGAGAGGGATCATAACTGATATCACAGGACAATTTTCAATTTCATAAACCGATGATTATGAAGAGAAAGGAAAGACGTGCTTTAACTTTAGTAATTTGGCACCAATATTGTATATGACCCATGACCTATGTCTTATTGTGTCTGAGTGCTGCTTTTATTTGTACTGTTGTAGTCACTAGATGGTACTTTTAATTTGGTTAAACAAGAAAAAGACTGTTTTTCAAACTAACTTTTCCTTTTTTTTTTTTTTGAACTTTATCGGAAATCTGCTCCATATTCTAGGCAGCATATTTAGCAAGATACAAAATGGAGTCAAATAGCAGCTAGAAGAATCCTATATCCCTTGACTCAATCTTAGGTGACATTACAATAGTGATGCTAAACAAACCTGGTCTGTACTGCCTAAAGGCCAGGTAGTTTCTATTTCATCCCTTCCCCAGGGTTCTCCTGTACCTTTAAGGGCATTTGGGGTATTTCGGCTCTCTGCTAACCCTATCCACTGTGTTCCCCCAAGTGGAGGTGTGAGGTCCCTCTCTTAGCAGCACCACTTAACCATAACAGTCAGATTAGCTTTTACAAGGAAATATTTACTTCCAAAGTATAATCACAAATATACAAGCTTTCTGTCCAATATGTTAGCTTAATCCTCTTTCCTTCCTTGCACAACCTCAGCTTCTGGAAAGGGGAAGGGCTTGTCTTAGTTTTTATAGAGTACACAGTCCCAATTCCAAATCCAAAGTCTCCCTTAGGCCCAAGTCCAAGGCACTCTGGGCTCCTCAGGGCTTCCCTACCTGGCTAGGTAGCTGCACCATTCCTCCTGGCATCCTGACCTCCAAAGTCACCATGACTCTAACTCCTGGTCTGGTGGGAATCCTACCTGTACTTAGAAAGTGAGAAAGACAAAGAAAACAGAACAGAACATAGACTATAGAACAGAAACAAATAGTCCCAGGCCCATTCCTCAGAGGTGTGGTAAAAGAGGCATGGGTAGGAAGATGAGCTATGGCCCCTCTAAGTTCAGTTTATGGTGCCCATGGTGTGAATGAACTATGGGTGATCTTCATCCTCTGGGTGCATCAATAAAAGACAAGAGTCTTCCAGTTTTAAAGATGCTGCCTCTTCTGGCTATGCAGCCAACCAAAGGAGGTTATAGCCACCCACAAGGTGAGAAAACACAGGATGAAGAGGCCTCCATGTTAGGTGATGTGGACATGCTCAAGCCAAGCCCTTTACTCAATCAAATGTGGAGAGATGCCAAGGGAAACTATTAGCATTTCCATCACCCTTCTTTTTTTGCATATAGCATTCTGCTAGACATTGGGTGGAGGGAGATATATAAGAGGTTCCCCTATCTCTCTTTGACTTCTCCCAAATCTCCTCATAATCCTCACATGATTCCTCCTAGACATACACTTACAATTATTCTCAATGTATCTGGAAGATGTCAATGTTTGGTTTTTTTAATTGGTTTTGCTTCTAAATGTTTAGTAAATTACTTTTCTTGAATTTCTAGGCAGCTAGGTGGTACAGTGGATAGGACCTGAACCTGGAAACAGGAAGACCTCAGTTCAAATCCAGCCTCAGACACTTACTAGCAAGATGACCATGGGCAAGTCATATAACATTTGTCTGCCACAGTTTCCTCATCTATATAATGGGAACAATAATAGCACTTATCTCCTAGGGTTGTTGTGAGGATCAAATGAAAAAACATTCATAAAGTGCTTGGCAAACTTTAAAGTGCTATATATGCTAGCTAGTAGTAGTAGTAGTAGTAGTACTAGCACTAGCACTAGTGGTAGTAATAGTGGTACTAGTAGTAGTAGTGGTGGTGGTAGTGGTGGTAGTAGTAGTAGTAGTGGTGATGGTGGTAGTGGTGGAGGTGGTGGTAGTAGTAGTAGTAGTAGTAGTAGTAGTAGTGGTGATGGTGGTGGTGGTGGTGGTAGTAGTAGTAGTAGTAGTAGTAGTAGTAGTAGTAGTAGTAGTAGTGGTGATGGTGGTGGTGGTGGTGGTAGTAGTAGTAGTAGTAGTAGTAGTAGTAGTAGTAGTAGTAGTAGTAGTAGTAGTGGTGGTGGTGATGGTGGTGGTGGTGGTGGTAGTACAACTTTCATCTCTGTACATCTAGATCTTGCCGTAAGGCTTGATCATGTACAGCCACATCATTGTGTTTACTGAGACTGCAAGCCAGGAAGGACATGAAACAGGATTTGTCCATCGTGCACTCAAGGGACGATCCATAAGTGTTTGAAAACGATGAAGGAGCTAATCTGTTTTTCCCCCCATGGCTGGTTAAATAATTCTTTTCCACTTGGAGAGTGGGTGGGCCATTTGTCTAAACAAGAATTGGTTCTTTCTCTGCCTCCTGATGTGGGCTACAGCCACTGACCCCAAACAAAATGCTATAACCAGCAAAGATGGTTGTTCCATATCCTGACCTACTCAAAACTGCATGGAATGACAATTAGCCTGAAAAACTTTTGTTAAAATACAGAAAACCATAAAGTTTTCATAAAATGGTGAGTGCAGTTTAACCCCAGAGCACAGTTTCAAAATGTAGTGGACTAAATAAGGTAAGGTCTCAAGAAGTCTGGTTTAGATACTGCTATTCAAAGTTGGAAGAAGGGGCCAATGGTAGAGAAGATGGTGAGATATCCAGGGTGGATAACTGGATGGGATCTGTACTTACTGCTCTCTTGCTCAGAAAGCTCTAGTGGTTCCCTATTGCCTCTAGATAAAAATACAAAGCCCCCTGGTTAGCATTTGTAGAAGATGCTGTGGAAATAGAATCCTCAAAACTCAGTGCCTAACTGGGTATGGGGGGTGAAGGAAAGGAAAGAGTTGGAAGTGACTCCAAGGTTTCAAATTTGAGCAATTATAAGGATAGTAGAGTACCTTCAACAACATAAAAGAGATTCATAAATGGGGTAGGCTTGGGTCCAGCTGGGGCTGGAAGGAAGATGATGAGTTCCATTTTGGACATGTTGAGTTGGAAGTAACTATTGGACAGCCATTTGGAAATGTCCAAGAAGCAGTTGGTAATAAGGGATTAGATTTTGAGACTGTTCATGTTTAAAAGTACATGTTACTACAAAATGGAAAATAAGAAGATGGGTCAGAACTGATTAAAATTAATAGAAACCTCAGGCTGCATACCAGCTGGTTAGCATTTTCCAAAATGTATCATTTCCTTGAGGAAACAATCAACCAGGATTTATTCCATCAACCAGGATTTATTAAAGGCCTGCTATGTGCCAGGCACTGAGGATACAAACAAAATGAATGAAACAACTCCGACTCACAAGGAGATTACATTCTAATTGGGAAAACAAAAGATACACACATAAGCATACATAGCGTGACTATGAAGAATGTAATTATAAAGTAATTAATTACAAGGTGGTTTGGGATGATGGGCGCTACCAATTTAGGAAATCGGGAAAGGCTTCCTGACAGTGATGCTTGTGCTAAGTCTTGAAGGGAGAAGAATTTAATGAGACAGAGTTATGGAGGAAGTACATTCCAGGTGTAAAAGACTTCAGCAATAGTCAAGTCAATAAGCATTTATTTATTAACCACCTACTATGTGTCAGGCACTGTGCTAAACTCTGGTGATATAAAGGAAAGCAAAAACAGTCCGCACCCTTAAGGAGCTTACAATCCAATAGTGGTAGAATAAGCAACAGCTACGTACGAACAATATTTACAGGAGAAATCAGAAGTAATCTCAGAGGGAAGTTTCTCCAGTTAAGGGATATTAGGAGTGGCTTCTTGCAGAAGATGGGATTTTAGCTGAGGACCGAAGGAAATCAAGGAAGCCAGGAAGTGGAGATAAGGAAGGAAAACGTTGCAGGAATGGAAGACAGCCATGGGAAGTGCATGGCATTGGGAGATTTAGTGTCTTGGAATAGCAAGTATCATAGAGCATATAGTGGGCAGTAAAGCATAAGAAGACTGGAAAGGTAGGAGGGGGTCAGGTTATAAATGTACTTAAAGGATATATAGGGCAATTAGGTGGTACAGTAGATAGAGTGCTCAACCTGGAGTCAGGAAGACCCAAGTTCAAATCTAGCCTCAGACATTTATTAGCTGTGTGATGCTGATCAAGTCACTTAATCCGGGTTGTCTCAATTTCCTCATCTGTAAAGTGAGCTAGGTGGTACAGTGGATGGGACCTAAACCTGGAGGCAGGAAGATCTCAGTTCAAATCCAGCCTCAGACACTAGCTAGATTACCATGGGCAAGTCATATAACCTCTGTCTGCCACAAGGGGTCATAAAGAGTTGGACATAACTGAATAACAAAAGGATATATAGAAGATCAAAAGCCATTTCCCAATAAAGAAATAGATATGAACAAGGATGTGAAGAGTTCTTAAAAGAAGAATCACAAGCTATTAATAACTGTATAAAAGAGTGTTAAAAATCACTAATATAATAAAAATGCAAATCAAAACAGTCCTGAGGTTTCACCTCACCCCCTGATAATTGGCAAAGATAACAAAAGATAGAAATGATCGGTGTTGGAGTGAATAAGCATGCTATTACATTGTTAAGGAAAGCAATATGGAATCATGAAAATGAAGTGACCAGAATATGCATATCCTTTGTCCCAATGATTCCCTACTAGGCCTATATCAAAGTAGGTGAAAGTCCTTATATGCATTAAATATTTATAGCATCACTTTTTGTGATAGCAAATAATTGTAAACAAAGGGAATGCTCATCAACTGAAGAACAGCTAAACAAATTGTAGTTCATGAATATAATAGAATGTCAATGTGCTATAAGAAATGATGTATACAGAGAAGCATGGAAAGACTTACACCAACTGAAAGAGAGCTAAGAATGCACACAATGACTAAACGATGTAAATGGAAAGAATAGCCACCACAAAATGATTGGAAGTGGGTATTGCAAAATTGCAAAAAACTAGGCATGGCCCCAAAGAAAAGATATGAGAAGACACCTCCCCGCCTCTTTCCTTTACAGAGGTAAAAGATCCACAGGTTGGTGTGGAATATTTCATATACTTTCAGAAGTTTTTGATGTAATATGGATTTGCTGATTATTTTTCTCTTCTTTTTTCTTTTAAAAATTTTATATATGTGGGATGGCTCTCTGGAAGGAAAAAAAGAGAAATATCAGGAGGAAAATTGAAGATTTGAGGAAAAAATCAATAAAATATCAACACTTTGATATTTTATATCAATAGAACTTTTTTTAAAAAGTCAGAGGATTTTACCAGTTAGAGGTCTAGAGGGGCTAAGAGGCAGACACTGAAATATAAAGAGAAAGATCTTTGGATGCAAAAATAGACATTCTTCACTCTAGAAAGTGGCTGAGACTTGTATTGTCCAAATGCAGATGAAGAAACTGCATTCAGACTCTTTTCCCTAGCCACTCATCTTCATCGTATGGGTAGGAGAACCGTCTTAAATAGAGCATCCATACTCTATTGTTTGGGGTGCCTTACTAAGGGAAAGGGCTTCTGAGTGTTATCTCTATCCCAAATGCCACAAAGCCATTGTTGAACCAGGAAGAAGCTTTATTAATGACCTGGAAAGGCCAGGAATCCCACACATGTGAGAGCATGCATGTGACAGCACATGTGTGGATAGATACACATCTTTTTCCCTGTTCCCCATTGGCTGGGTACTACAGAGGTTATAGTCTATGCAAAGCACCCAATTTCCCCACATGAGCCTCCACCCCATCACATCACTCACTTCCCACAATTCAGCCACCTGGACCTTATTTGGGTGAGTCCACACCCCTTCTGCTTGGGATACAGATGTAGTAATCTATACCTAACCTCAGAACTGGTTTTCCCCAGGTTAGTCTATTTACAACCAACTCCACTTTATGGCTTTCCTTGGTT